TATTTTTGTAGGAGTTTTGCATCTGACAGTTAACGACACAAGAGTTGAGCCACAGATTGATATTTACAAATTGGAGATTTCTGACAAACAACACATTTATTTCAACGCCTGTAAGAGTGTTATAATTATTGTGAATTTCATTATAATTAGTAACACATTTGGTTGTATTTGAAGCGAACCGAAATCCATTGGCTAACAACACATACGACATCGTAGTGGAGGTGCCATCGGGACAGCACTCGATGAAGATCTTGGCGCACAACCCGGTCGGATGGTCTCTGCAGACGGATCCAAATGATCCGCAATTCTTGACAGTAAGCAGTGCTGTGGTTAGCCAGCAATCCTTGTGGATGTGGTTTGTAATGATTGCTTCAGTCGTGAGTTTAGTCAATGCTTTCTAAGAGTGTCAGCAATCAGTGAACAATTTATTGCATTTTATCCGTAATTATAAGAATTTCGCCGCAAATGTCTAATTGATTCAAATAATTAAACCAACGATTAATCTTATATTTGAATGAAGTGTTGACTAAATAGTCTTTTATTAGTTTAATATTTATTGCATTTTATCCGTAATTATAAGAATTTCGCCGCAAATGTCTAATTGATTCAAATAATTAAACCAACGATTAATCTTATATTTGAATGAAGTGTTGACTAAATAGTCTTTTATTAGTTTAAACAAAGCATTCCTCAAAGAGAAATTATTTTTTGTCGTTAAGTTAATTGAAAATTCAATAATTTATTCTCTTATTTCAAGAATATATCCATTGATTCTTAAATACTACAAATATATTTAAAGGGATATTTTGTGTAAATTTGAAATTGTATTGTAATTGTAATCTCGATTTGAATAGAGTTTTATCGTAAGACTTAATGCTTTCATCGAATCAAACGAAACACAAAACAATTCTCGAAAATCTTTACAAATCAATAGAAATGAACCAAACATTCAATGCATTCATTTAGTCATAGAGAATACCAAATGAGATAATTGTCTGTAAATATAGTTATATAACCACAAAGTCGTCATCGAAGAGCTTACATGACAGACACTATACTTAGTCTTGAAAACCAAAGATTCAATATTTTTTGAATAGCTTTAACTCACTCGTCATTTAAGCTCACATTCAGTTTAATGTGTTATTTAGGTTTAGATCTCTTGAATCACACCAATAATTGCTATTGATTTCAAATTCTATCAAATCTTATTATAGTACAGTATATAACATAAGTATATTTTAAATGCAAATTACTTTCAATGAGATATTTATGAGTTCATATGGATCCACTTTAATGTTAAGAATATATTTTATGACTATATTGAAATAAATGTACAATTAATGAACTATTTATTTAAAACATTGTAAACAAATATACAATATTCTCAATTACTTCGCCAAAAAAGTCACTTATTTTAAGGTCAATACAATATTTTCGTTAAATCCATGTCTTAAACTAAAATGCATTCAATTTTATACCAAAGACTAAGTGCTGAGTCATTAAGTTTTGAATGAATCTTAATTTTAATTGATATTATATTATAATTATATTCTATTAAATGCCTAACGCTGTGAAAATTAAATTTCTTTTCCATTGTATCATAATTTTGTTGTTTTTTGTTCATATTTTATTCAAAATTAAAATCAAAAACTAAGTCTAAGTATTGCATAAGAATTCATGTAATTTTCAATTTAATTCCAAATAAAGTTGACTTTCTTTCCATACATTCATTCAGTTATTAATGTTTTAAATTTAGTTTAAATTTAAATTTAAATTTATATTTAGTTTTCAATAAGTTGTCATTCAATGTATGACACAAGTGGTGATGCATTAGTGGATCAGTAAGGGTTTGGCCGCTGAGGTCGTGTCGGATCAAAGAGTCTCGGATTTTTGTGATACTTCACATCTCTATAGACGGCAGGAATGAGATGATATCGGATGGCCTTCCGGTGCTCCCTCTCCACCACTTTCTGCTGGGTTTCACACAAACCGGTGATGTGTTTGTCATACAGTCGTCCCGTATATGGACTCACGAATTGACTCAACAGTTGCACGTTCTTCGGCACAAATAGACATACAGACAAAGCATACAATCAGTCAAATGAGACAATCCATGGCACAGTCGTGTCACCACTACCTTATAGTCCACTTCTATACCATATTTACATAAAATACAGATTTGTTTGGCTTTGCGGTACGGATTGGCGAGACTCGGGTCCGGCTATAAGTGACCAACACGTGGACAAAGGGATCAGTTAACACTAATACAAGTTATTTATCATTTGGTTACCAAATCTTTGGTGTATTCCTCCGATTGCTTCCAATCGATGTCCGATTTGAAGGAAACACTTGATTCAAAAGCAACCAATTTCTTCGCGTGGTGCACATTTGGCGACAATTGTCTCCATTTATGAACCGCTGATATAAAACTCAATCATTAGTAATGAACACAAAGTGAATTGTTTATTAAAATACCTCTAATTATAGCAAACATTTGCCAAATTGAGTGCAAATCTCAATGAAAAGCACTAATAATGAGAAACCTTTCAAACGAAATGTGTTTGCATTTCATAACTTCAGGCGTTTTGTAAACACAGAGTTTTCTACACTAAAACTCATTTACAAGTGACCACTATATACCTAACTGTCCTGGACACTTCGGATCACACTGTCCTGGATCACATTTTGCTCACATTTTAGTTTCATACAAATTATTTGGATTCACACTTATCTCTATAATTACATAATTTTATAATTTATAATGTTTTGTAACATTGAATGACATTTTGTACGAGTTTTGAGTGAATGTTGTTTTGATTGTAGTTTTCGTGGGATTTAATCATTTGTTTACATTTCATGGCATTTGACGTTTGAATCACTGGATCTGATCTGAAGAGTTGCTATCAATGAGTGCACTGGAAGTATGTCTCAGGAAGAAGACACGGATTTGCGGGAAACGCCGATCCGAGCGATGAGTCTGTCGACA